GTCCTCTTCCCCTCTTCCTTCTTTTTACAGCTTCATAGTATTCTATCCCGTAGAGGAACCATTATGTTTTAAACCAGTTTCCTATTAGGAAAGGAAACATTTCAATTGTTTCCTTTTCTTCTGTTATAGACTTTGGTACAATCAATAAGTTAACGTGTGGAAATAAGCCTGTTAGCATAAATTCTGAAAAACAGAATGACTAGGTCAAATGATTCATGCATCTGTAATTTAAAAAAATACAGACAAATTGTTCTCTGTGGGGACTGTACCTATTTGTCTTTTCATGAACAATTATAAAAGTCTCCTATCCTCACAAATAGTGTTTTGTCAAATTTTAGGGGTTTTGTCTATCCAGTAGGTAAAAGTGATATTGAGGGAGGCTTTTCTTGTGTTTTCTTATTGTGATTGAGGATGCATTCTTTTCATACGTTTAAGCAATACTTCCCTTTTTCCTCTGAAATTTTCATGTTCTTTGCCATTATTTTCCTACTAGGTTGCTATTTGCTTTTTTTCCCCTAGGATTTCTTTATATATTAGGAACACAAATCCTTTGTTAAATGAGTTGTAATTTTTTCCCTCCAGTTTGTGGATTTTGTCTTTTCTCTATTTTTTTTAATGTAGGAGTTTTAAAAAGAATTTTGATGTAACTGAATCTATTAATTTTGTTTTATGAGTATTATAGTATGATTCCTAGTTAACTGGAAAGGTCTTTTCTACTGCTGGAAAATTCCAAATATTCTTTTCCTATAGTTTCTTAAACATTTTAAATCTTTGTTCATTTCAAAATATGTTAGAGTAAAAGGTATAGGTATGAATCCAGCTATTTTTTCCCCCATATTTAAATGGCTTTCTGATTATCCTTACAATATTTACTGAATAATCCATCCTTCCTCACTGATTTGAGGTACAACTTTTATCTATATTCCAAAATCCCATATGTATTTATTTTTGTTATTGATCTTTCCATTTTGTTTCATAGTTCACACTGCTTTATTTAGAGAAGTTTTTATTTTAATATTTGGTTGGGTTAGTTTTCTGCTCTTTTATTGCTACTATTTTTCCCCCAGAATTTTCTTGACACTTTTTTCTCGACATTTTTACATGATGTTTTATGATTAACTTACCTAGTTTTAGAAACAAATGAACAAAGAAACAAATAAATAAATAAAATGATGGGTATTTTCAGTTCATGCTGAATTTATAAACTTTAGGCATGTGTTGCTACTTGTTAAAATCTTATTTTACATAATTTTCTTTGTAAGGTTGTTTCTATTGCATGTGGGAACTTTTCATCCATGATTTTCCATTACATCTTGTATGTAGGACAACTACTGATTTGTGTATGTTAATTTAATATTCTATTACCATACTACCTTAATTCTTAAGTCATTTTTCACTTTACTTTTTTTGGGCGAGTTTCCAAATCTAGACACCAATATATCCTAAATCCATATGTTCTTTTTACAATGTAACATTGATACTTCTCCATCAAGACACGGGGAGTCTATGTTTCCTCCACTCGAGTCTGTCATAAATGCAGAAGCACTCTGAGACTTCTGAAGCCAAGTCATATTAAGAAACATAACTTTTACCTGGATTTGCTGGGACCCAGCCACTATATTACATCAAAGCCAACATAAAAATGACAGGCAACTGTATAGGATGAAGCCAGACCCCACACGGAAAGGACACATGTAGCTGTTCCAGGGACAGCCTAAGCCGAGGTCTCAGTTAAGAGCCAGCAACAATCACTGGACACGCACATGAATAAGCCCTTGGATGGCTCTAGCTCCATCCTTCAAGTCACCTTGGCAGATACAATCCCCCATTAACAAGCTCATGCTACTAAATCCTGCTCATGTGGCCAATTCTTTGGCAAAGTAAATATTTTCAGCCATTAAGTTTTGTCATGGTGTGTCAGTGGTAAGAAATAATCAGAACAGGTTTTGTGTGTTTGTTTAAAATCATATCATTACAAAAGTGTGATATTTTTACCTTTTCATTTTAATTTGTAAAGCTCTACTTTATTTTTCTCTGTGGTCAAGGGTTTGGAACCACACAGTCAATGTGACACATATTTCCTTCAAAATCCAATAAGACCCCATGGTCTTGCGTGCATGAAAACCTTGGATTTCACTTAAGAGGCATGTAGTTTCATGCTCACATGGATTACGGGAGCCCCGGAAACTTCATGAAGGTGGATGGCTCCTGCATGTTTATTTTGGAAGGGGCCATTTGTCTATTACCTATTGGCATGCATGTGGCTTATGAAGGTCTCTAGGGTATGTGTTGCATCCTGCAAGGAGTATAATTTAATCAGAGTAATAGAGGCTTGATGGCCCATGCAATGATTAGACAACCAAGGTCACTGATACACCGCCAGAAGGCATACTGCTGTCCTTGAATGGTAAGAAAATTCTCATAGCTTCATACCAGAGCTTGCATTGAGTTATCCCTAAAAAAAGGAACTTTCGTCTGGAAGAGTTCCTGTAAGTGGAGTCACTACCTAAGGAAGTTTATAATAACTCATTACCATTCTCCAAAAGCCATTAGTTTGTTATGCACAGCAATGTTAGTTTACTAGGACTGCCATAATAACCACAGCCTGGGGCGTAACCAACAGATCTATTTCCACAGAGTTCTGAGGCTGGAAGTCCAAGAACAAGCTGTCAGCAGGTTTCAGTGTCTTCTGAGGCCTCTTTCTTTGGCTTGCATTTGGTTCTCACATGGCCTTTTCTCTGAGCATCCCTGGTGTATCTTTGTGCATCCAAATATTCCCTTCTTATAAAGACACCAGCATTTTGGATTGGGGCCTACCCTAATGGCCTCATTTTAACATAATAACTTCTTTAAAGGCCTTATCTCCAAATAGTCACATTCTGAGGTACTAGGGGTTAGGGCTTCAACAATAGGAACTTCAGAAGGATGCAGATCAACACATTACTACGGGTCAAACATGTGAGTTGAGTGTGGTTGTGATGGCAATCACCAACTCTGTAATTACAGTCTTTGATAGTGGCACTATCAAAATGTGGCATTGCTTTTCTGTTTTTGGTAGATTTCTGCTTGACCTTTCCTACTTCCTCTTTCCAACTCTGAGAGTTAGGGAGTCATTATGGGGATTATTCCAGATAGTCTGATTCTATCAACTGTGCTTTCAGAGAAGGGCCACGGAATGCTAAGTGAAATAAACCAATCCCAGAAAACCAAAGGCCCAGTGTTCTCTCTGATATGCAGACGCTCACTCACAATAAGGGAGGGGGAGGGAAGAACCCAATTGAGTCAAATGTATGAAAGATGATATATCATGAGCTTTGTAATGTTTTGAACAACCAATAAAAAAAAAAAAGAAGTTCATTGGATGAGATAGAGGGGAATGAAGGGAAGGGAGGTGAGGTGGGGATAGGAAAGACAGTAGAATGAACCAGACCTAACTTTCCCATGTTCATATATGAACACACTAGTGAAAATCCACATCATGTACAATCACAAGAAGGGGAAGTTATACTCCAGGTATGTATGATATGTCAGAATTCACTTTACTGTCATGTATAGCTAAAAACAAACAAAAAAGAAAAATAAAAACAAAATTTAAAAAGTGGGGGGCATGGAGTGCCTCACCATGAGGGACTTGGGTTTGAACTGCACATTAAATCACTGATTTTTTTTAGTTTACCATTTTCAGGTGTACTTTGGCTATCTTTTCAATATTTCAGAATGACTTTGTGTCTGTTTTGCAATATATAGAATAGAGTTGGATTTGCCTTTGAGATGTAGTCTAAAAAATCTTTTTCTTTTAATATATGAATACTCTTTTATGTTTATTGATATTGACATGTTTGGTTAGAGTTCTTTTGTAATATTTTATGATATGTTACTTTTCTATATTATTGTAGTTATTGACTGAACTTTCCTTCTTCAGGCTAGAAGTCTTAATAAGTAGTATGTTAAAAATTGGATATATGTACTGTGAAGTACAAACACATTTACTATTAAAGTATATCTACTTTGAATTATCTTCAGTAAATTATCAGGAGCATCCTAGAACCTTCTCTCCTCTGCAGGTGGGTACTGGGCCCTTGGCAGTTGCCAATGGGAATACTCAGCCTTAGTTAGGAAGGGGTAGTAATTAAGAAAAAATAAATAGAGGAAGAGAATGTATGTTTATGTGCATGTGAGGGTATTTGTACAGGTGTAGGCATGGGTTAGTGTGTGTGGTGGGGAGATAGAGAAAGAGATGGGGAGACATATTTCAAGCATTTTTAAAATTATATTATCATCAATTAAATAATAATTTTTTTGTGTGATAGCAGGGATGGAACCCAAGGGCGCTGAACCACACACCCAGCCCTTTTTATGCTTTAGTTTGAGACAGGGTCTCACTAGGTTGTTTACAGCCTCACTTAGTTGCTAAGGGAGGCTTCAAACTTGTGATCCTCCTGTCTCAGCCTCCCAAGCCACTAGGATTACAGGTGCGTACCACCATGCCCAGCTTTAAATAATAATTTTTCTAGTAAATTATTTTATATCATTTGCTGATACAATTTAGTGTGGACAACCAGCACCTATATTTGTGTTAGGTATTACTTTATAATTTATATAGCATTCCATTTTCTACTTTAAAATTAATCATGGTCATCAGTAGAGAAAGGAACTGGGGGCAGGGAGAGGGAGGTGTGGCGGTACTAAGGAATAAAACTGACCAAATTATGTGCTCATATGAATATGTAGCTATGAATCCCATATTATGTATAATTATAATTCACTAATTAAAAATAAATAAACATAGGCAAAAAAGTAATTATGTCTCAAGATTTTATAAACTAGTGTTGAGAAAGTTTTTCTTTTTGGAATTGCCAAAATCTATACCTTTTCTAAGTCAGAAAAAGTATAGGAAAGAACGAGGTATAGTAAACCCACTTTCAACAGGTGATAATGCAGAATAAGAAAGGAGATGCCAGTGTTGTTAGGATCTTGAGAAACACCACGTGAACATCAGATTTGGGGTTGCTTGGTCTTTATTAAAGTTTGCATCAAGGGAGTTTCACAAGATTAAATCAGGAGATTGAGTACTCAGGGTTTTGACTAATTTGATGTAATTATTACTTACATTGCCCGGATGAGGTGACTGTGACTTAACTGCAATTGGAACCATCTGTCTTGCTTCCCCTCAGGCCCCCATGATGGCCTAGGTGTGTTATTCCAGCTCCTTTGGGACTAAATACACTCATGCCTTGATCCACATACCCCCTTTGACTTAATATATTTCTCAACAAGAAACACAATAGAATTTTATTCCTCCTTGATTAAATGGAGTCATAATTGCAAAAAGGAAAATCCAATGATCAATTTTAGTTTTAAAGCTAGAAAAGGAAAAAAGATATTATTATCAAAAAATGAATTTGGAAAGAATTCTTTAAAACACAGCCAGGGTGAAGTATTTTGGAAAGCATTGTATCTATTTGTATGCATATTTGTATATAAAAAGTGTCCTCCCTCTGGGTAAGGGAGGTGGGGGCTGATGACATTGCCTCTTGTGAGGTTCTGTTCTACATTGCAGATGCTGGAGGTGACAAAGCTCAGTGGTGACTCAATCCTGCTTTTCTGTTTAGACCTGGATCTTATTCCAGTTTAGGCTTCTCTTTCTCTTCTTCCATACCTAGAAATACAAACAAAGTTCTTTATTTGGGCGTCAGATTAAACTAGGATCATATATGTCAAAACTGCTCACAAAACTCTCATCTCCCCACCCTCCTATAGACTGCTCCCCCTTTTTCTCTTAACGGAAAAGGAAAGCCATGTACAACTTTTCCCAGAAACATCTTCAGTCACTTCTTTCCACAACCTTTCCCTGAATCAGGACACAACACCTCTGGGATACAGCCAGCTCTCTCTCTTCTGTGAATGAGGAGCACCCATTGATTCTTGATCCATTGAGTTTGTGTGAAAACCCCAACCCGACCAACAGAAGCCGTGCAGCTGATGTAATTCAAATGGACTTCATTTATTTTTATTCTAGTCCTGTTTCTTCCTAAGGCAAGGACTCTGGATTTCCAAGAGTTAAGACTTTAAAAAAATATATTTATTTTTTATATTTTAAAAAGCTCAGAGGGACCTATTAGTCACAAGAACTATTTATTTCCATACCTGTGTGTCCTTTTTAAAAGACATTTTTGCAGTGCTAGGGGTGGAACCCAGAGTGTCATGCATGCTAGGCAAGTGCCCATCACTAGGCTACACCCCAGCCAAATCTTCCTTCTATTCAACCTGCTGCTGACAGACCTACACTGTTCTTCTTTTCCTCCTGCAGAATTTGTGTGTACTAGACTAGTAAGATCTGCCTGTTGTCTTTGGTGAATAGCCAGCAACCTTTCATTTTCCTGGGGAAAAATATGTTTGAGTCATTCTTATAAATTATAATTAACTTTTTTCTTTTGCTTCTAGTTAAACATTTTTTTTCTCATGTTACCAAATTCTCAGAGACTTTTTGCATGTTGTTTTCAATAGCAATGATGGAATGAAAGAATTCAAAATATTGCTTTCCAGGTTTTAGTAGTATTCTTTTATAAATTGCTAGCTCTCTCACTAGTATGGCAATATGTAAATCAATGGATGTGTAACTGATGTGATTCTGCAATCTGTATATGGGGTAAAAATGGGAGCTCATAACCCACTTGAATCAAATTGTGAAATATGATATATCAAGAACTATGTAATGTTTTGAACAGCCAACAATAAAAAATTAAAAAAAAATAAAATAAAAAATAAATAAATAAATAAATTGCTAGCTCTCTGAGAGCAGGGCCCTTGACTGTTTTGTTCCTGATTGTATCTCTAGCATCCAATATGCAGTGTCTGTCTCATAGGAGGTACTCAATCGTCACTGGATAAATTAAGAAACAATGCATATAAAGAAGGCCTCAGAAGACTGGACCTGCAGGAAAGCAGTAGAATAAAACATGGGCCTCCATAATATAATAAATCATAAAGCCCCATAGGGTCATATAGCCCATAATGGCTCCCCACCAACTCCCACTCCCAGCTCCTAGTCTATGTTTGGTGGGGTCAGGAGGAGGTAGGGAGTGTCCTCAATAGTCTTTTGTGTTTGGTTCTCATTATTAAGGAACTACAATACTGTTTCCAAATTACTTCTCAGATTATGGGAAACCTCATTTTGAAGAACAAGGACATTGAAAGGGAGGAGGAACAGGGCTGAAGGCAAGAAGATAGGACAGGGCTTCGCTGTTGGTAGCTAAGGCAAAGGCCCGAAATAACCGATTCTGTTCAAACTGCACACAAGATTTGAGTTCCAACTTCTGGCCCACATTCTCTGTCCGTGGAGAAGGTACTGGGGACTAATATGAACTTGCTTTCTAATGTCTTTTTCCTCCAAAGCCCCTTCTGCTAATGGGCCAAGGAGGCATCATGGTGGAATCTTCAGAAGCAGGAATGGGGAACACGGAGCATTCTCTGATCTAGAGAAGGAAAATGGCTCCCCACCTATTTTGGTTTGGCAGCTGTGAGATTGAGGTGAAAAATTAGACAGTTGTAATAATTGTTTAGAAGAACCAGGCGTACAGTTTCCACACAAAGCAGAAAGAACCCTGTCACAAAGCTGATGGTGGCTGCAGATGCAGGACACCAGGACAAGACTGTCCTTGAGGGAGGCATTTAGGTGTGTCCTCAGGCTGGAACAGGGGCTCCACCAGGGGGCAGTACTTTGACACTGCAAGCCTGCTGGGCCCAGGCAAGAAATGACCTGGAGAAGAAAGGCCAGGGGGGTTCTGCACTCTCAGGCTCTCCTTCCCAACTCATGTGTGAAAGTCCTAACCCTCTTTTCTGATGGTTTGGCCAATCGCACAGAGGCCAATTTTTTTTTTTTTTTTTTTTTTTTGCGGGGGCGGGAATTTTCTACCAGCAGACAGCAGAGACACTGCCACCTTGGACAGGCACGAAGAAATAAAGGAGACAAATCATTGGTCAAGATGGCTCAGGCACTGCCTCCTGGTTCCAGAGGGTGGGGCTGTAGCCCAGGGCTGAAGGGTTGGAGCTACTGCTGGGCCTGAAGGCAGGGCCACGCCCCCTTCCCTGTGAACCCTGAAGACAGAGCATCCAATCAAAGAGGATTATTCTCAAGCTTTCAAATCTGATGGATTTTCCTTGCTGGCTTTCAGACTTTCTTGGGAAGCACCAGGGGCCTTCTTTCCCCTGCCATTTCTCTTCCACCATTGTGTCTTAGAAGCACGTGATTTCTTGTTTGGTTTCATAGGTCTCCATGCAACTGGAGAATAATTTTGCTTCAGGATGACTCATACTTCAAGTCTCATCCATGCCTGATGGATATCATATTAAGACGAGATTCTGGATTTAAGAGTTGATGTTGGAAGGACTTTGGGGACCACTGGGATGAGGGGAATGTATTTTGCATGTGTGAAGGTCATGGATTTTATGAGGCAGGGAGCATTATAGGCTGAATTATGTCCCTCCGAAATTCTCATGTTGAATTCTGAACCGCTGGATTCTCAGAATGTGACCTTTTTTGTATAGGGTCTTCACAAAATTAAATGAAAGTCATCAGGGTGGGCCCTCATCAAATATGACTTATGTCCTCAGAAAAAGGGTGAAGTTGGGGAGCTATCTCACATACAGGGAGAACACAAGTAAAGGAAGATGGGTAACTGTAAGCCAAGGAGACGTCAGGAACAGATACTTCCCTCACAGAGGAACCAATCATGCCAATACCTTGGATTTTGGACTTCCAGTCCCTAGATGTGTGAGCTAATGAATTTCTGTCATTAAGCCACCCAGCTTGTGGGACTCTGTTCCCACAGTCTTAGTAAACTAAACTTCCATGAAACCATCTTGAGTTACTTTATTATAAAAAGAGCAAATGCTTGATTTTTAACTTAGCCTATTTTAAGGGCTTTTAAAAATTTATATTTCCTATCAGCTTAGCCTGTGTTGCAATTATATAGGCAAGGTCTGTGGTTCTGATGAAGTCTCTGAGTTCTCGTATGTCTGGATTTCTAAACATGACGACGTGCTGATGCTTCACTAGCAATAGCACTGGACTGAACCTTGGCTAGAAGGTGTTGGCTCTGCCACCAACTATTTTGGTAGGTCCCTCTATTTTGGTATGGCCCTCTGGGGGCTTTAAGATTTCTGAGCCTCAGCTGACTTTGGTAAAAGGAAAATGTTGGTTTAGATGATTCCTGATCTCTTTTTCAGCAATAAGCTTATACAATAATGCAATCATGTGATTTTATCTTGAAGTTATAGCTGATAAAACTAAGTCAAGGAAGTCAAGTCACAAAACCCATTATGGAACAAGGGAAGGGGGCTCATGTGCAATGTTCCTTCTTGGGGGATTCTCTAGTAACTGGTGTGTGGTAATGATGATACACTGTACACCACTGTATTCAACACACACACACACACACACACACACACTCCGTGTTCAATCAGCAGTTTCAAAAATCAACTACTAATGAGCCAGGAAACTAAGTAAAGTGCCAGATGAGAATTAGGGAATATTAGAGAGCCATCTAAAGCAGAGAGTCCATTCTAATTCTTGGTTGATAGAGGGAACAGTGGGCTTGGTATTCCTAGATCTTAAAATATTTGATAGGAATTTGAAGCCTGGTCTTTATGTGAAATCTCCCAAGTTTTAAATGTTGGTTCCAAACTCAAAACCCCACTATGTAGGCCTAATGAAACTTCTTGATGGATACAATTTAGGGGCAGGTTATCAGTATGTGATTCCCTATTGTAAATGGGAAGATACCTACCTGACACAAAACATCAGCCTCAACAGAATCAACTAGATAGATGGAGACAAAATTAATTTCAAACCCGAGATGAGTTATAAAAAGTTAGCCTTCACTCAAGTGCCTTAAGAGAATAGGACAATTAAAGTGAACAGACCATTTGAAAAAGTCTTAGTTTCACTATTCATTTTAAACTCCTCATTCAAAGTTGTTAAAAGCAATATTATTGTGATCTGGAATGGATATTTATCACTCCTGGTTTTTAGGCCATCTCCTCATAAAAGTATTAGAAAAATGGTCAAATGACTGTCAGAAAAATCAAGGGGACACAGTCATAAATATTTCCTGTCTTGGACTATTAAATCTGAATACAGTTTTTCTTCCAAGAATCTGAAAAAAAGCTTAATTTTGTTTTCAAAATATTTTCACTTAACTAAATGCCTCTATAAATTATATAAATTAACTAATAGAGAAAGATTATTATTCCCATCAAACAGAGGGAACATTATTAAAAGATAACTTCTGATTCCCCAAACTGTGGCCTGAACTGAATAAAAAATTTTGACATCTTTTCAGTAGACTACTCATCAAACTGAAAAGCTGAGACAGTAAACCCTCAATTCCTCTGGGCCATTTAGCATTGGCTAACACCTTGACACATACAATCTTAGAAGATTCACACAAAAAATGCCTGAATCAGTAACTGCAATCACTGTGCTTTATTTGTGTATTAGATGGAGTTCCTGGCATAGTATCTGACATGGAGTAGGGGGCTCAATGTTTGTGGAGCAGAATCCAGTTACTGGTGACCTCTAGAATGCTGATTGTTGGAGATGTCCAGAGCTTTCTAGAATCCCCACACTATCTTGCCTTTGGATGGTATTTTCATGCAGGATTCAAATCACTACACATGTGTCACTTTTTCCATCTTCCAATGTTTATGTTATATTACATACAATTTGGACAGGTTTTGCACAGCTTGGACAAGATTACACATCTTGCCCAGATGGAGGCTCTGCCATAAATGGAAACAAAACAGAAATCACATCATGGGTTAAGAGAGCTTTTACAACAATGCAGTATTACCTTTCACAAGCCTGTACCTCTTTGCCATCTTCGTACCTTAAAGAGGACAGCCACTGGAGAGTCATTTGGCCAGAGGCATTCTGAGGTGCTTAAGAGTTCTAACTACGTGGTGGTGAGACTCCTCTGAGATTATTGCACCCACATAAAAGATGGCTTAGAAAGTGGACAACCAGGTGACTTAACAAGACCCCTTGGCTACATTTCATATCTTATATATTAAATTTGGAGTCCTTTTGGCTAAGAAAGCATTTGGATAACCAGAGCAAATGTCTCTAATTTTTTTCCTGTTAATACTATGTTTTTCCCTATAAAATTTTATGGATTTGGAGGTTTTACTAGCTAATAAGACTGAGTGAGTAGTTAACCTATCAGGTAAAACCTCCAACAGTTCCTAAATTAATATTGTAATTATAAAAATGAGAATTTCAGAAGAGATCCAGCGCCAGGGTTAAAGGAGAGGCTGCTGTGGAATTTTCCCTCAGTCTCTGCATAAGCTGTCGTGGGCAGCACTTCTCCTGTTTTATGTCCCCCTCCCCCCTGCCCCCAAATACTTACTTCTCTGTGTATCCCAGATGTAGTTGTTCAGAACTTCTCCCAGCAGGTACAGAAAGTTCATCAAGATGGTCGTCGACCCAAAGAAGATGATCCTGGCTCCAGGGCCAATGTGTTCCAGGAAGGGGTACACCCACATGCCGGTGACATGATGCACCCAGCACACCCTGCCATGGAGTTGGAAAGGAGACAGAGGCAGTCACTCTCATGGCAGATGTCAGAGCTGCTAGGTTACAAGTACACACGCCCCCATCTAACCGTTCTTCAGCAGCTGCCAGTCCCAAGTGTGGCGTCTGATCCTTGGGAGTGACCAGAAACCTGGTGGTTGGTGGTTTTTACCTTTTATTTTGAAATAATTTTAGACTCTCAGAAAGAGGTGCAAATATGAGGCAGAGAATTCCCATCTGTCCCACTCTTAGCCTGGTGACATCCTGTATAATCCTGGGACCATCACTACATCTAAGAAGTCAACCTTGGTACAGCAGTATTAATGAAACTACGGCTTTATCTGAAATTCCCCATTGTTTCCATCAATGTCCTTTTTCTGTACCAGGACCCACTCCAGGGTCCCTCCTTACATTTAAAGGCGTGGCTCCTTATCTGCACTCTGGCAGCTCCTCAGCCTCTCCTTGTCTTTGAAGGACACTTACAGCTTTTGGTCAGGTATTTGAAACTGTTATACAATCTTTTTAATCTCCTCTTTACATAACGAAACAATGTAGCATTAGGCAACCACACTGTAACAAGATCTAGGTGGGAATGCACAGGCATCCTGCCAGACCACCTTCCAACTAGACATGACTGCGAGCCGCGCATGCTGGCAGGACCATCCCGGAGCCTAGCAGACACCAGGCTTCCTGCTCCTCTGATCTTCTCATCCTACGTTCATTTCACCGTCCCCCCCCCCCCATTTTACATATGTACTTGTAATCATTCTATTTGTGTCTGGAGATATTTTTGGCTCAGTGGGAACAGCAACATCATCAATTGCCGCTGCTTTCAAAAGTTTCGTTAGAGTAACTGAGCCATTGGCTTGGTCCTGACATGACTGTTCATAGCTGTTTTTCAAAAATATTTTGGAGTTCATTACTCTATTGAATGTTGTCAATTTTGAAGACCAAATAAAATATGAATAACTGTAGTATACTAGGAATAAAATTACTTTTTAAACTAATGTGTTCTGGGGTCATCTCATTTTCCATGATTTCACTCTTTAAGGAGTGTACTTACATATTCATTACCTACACATAAATTCATTGAAGAAGGAAACCTGGGGTCTCAGAGCTTGTATTATCCATGAAGATAACCCCCAACCCCCATGGAAGTCAAAATTCATTTTGGGGTGTTAGTAAAACACTCTTACTTTTTAAATATAGAAAGCATATACATACACAGCTAAAATCATGCATGTGTATATATATATAAACACATGCACTATATCTGTGGTATCAGAACTTCATGGCTCAGCAATTCCACTCCTAGGTATGCAGCAAAATAATAGAAAGCAGAAACTCTAAAATATTTGTACATCAATGTTCCTATTAGCCAGAAGGTTGAAATAATCCAAGTGTCTATCAACAGATGAATGAATAAATATGATGTTGGATATACTGGCAATGGAATATTATTTAGCCATAAAGAGGAATGAAATTTTGATACATGTTGCAACATGGATGAACACTGAAAACAAGCTAAATGGATTAAGCCAGATATGGGACAAATGTTGTAGTTTCCACTTATATGACACATCTAAAATAGGCAAATTCAGAACAAGAAGCTACAATGCAGGTTACCAGGGACTGAGGGGAGTGGAGAATAGGAAGTTTACGTTGGAGATAATGAAAAAGTTCTGGGTATAGATAGTGGTGATGATTATGTAATATTATAAATGTATTTAATGACAACTGTACATCTACAAGTGATCAAAATGATAAACATTGTGTGATGTATATTTTACTACAATAAAACATTCCATGGGATAAAGATTAGGGGGAATGTATGAAAGGGCTCCTTGGTTGGGGGAGGCAGTTATTAAAGAAAGGTGGAGAAATTGTGCCTTAGGAAGAAGAGGCAGTCATTGGGTCCATCCATGGCTTGAATCATGTCCAAAATCAGAGTTCTTTTATTTTTTTAAATAAAAATGAGGCCATGCTAGCAAAAAAAAAAAAAAAAAAAATATATATATATATATATATATATATATATATATATATTTTTTAAGCTAAAGCATTTATGAGACTCAGCAGAAATTAAATTGTCAGAGGTAACCTGTGGGCTTCTGATACATCACATTCTGTTTGTTCATAAATCAGAGGCAGTTTTATCTTCCTAATCTTGTCTTAACTAATGTGTACCCATCAAGTGGCTTATTAATTTCCACAGAGATAATATGCAATATTCCCCAAATTTAATACCATAAAACTATAATTGATTTCTTTGCAAATCAACTTATGACAGTATAATCTGACTCACAGTAAAACTGTTTCCTCAATTAGGCAAACTGGGAGCAATTCAAATTATAATTGCTAATGGTACTTTTTATACTTGTTCCTGATATTCAACTCACTTTTGTAGAATGAGCTTTCCATTTGCAGGTTTTGGGATCATCTCTGATGTCAGGATGAGGTCTACTCTTTAGACCCTATTGGATGGCAATGTACTTTTTTTGATTTGTATGGAATCATCCTATAATACCAAACAGATATAACCACGATGCCACATCCTATCTACCCTTAGACAACTCCTGAATTCTCACCTCCAGTCTGGATCTCTTTCCTGAACTCCAGTATTCCACACCTCACTGCACACCTGCCCTTTAGATGTTTAGACGTGCTGTTAGCAGCATTTCCAACTGAACATTTCCATGCCATCAACTTCCCTGCATCTGATTCGGCACACACCCTCTCCCCTGTCCCCATCACTCAATGACAAATGTGCCTATTCTGCATCTTTCTCTTTCCAGGTTGATGGCCACTATATTTTTCTAGTAGTAGCCTGGGACAGGAAACATGGAGTCATCTTTCTCTTTTATTTTTCTCACAACCCACACCCAACCCATCCTTAGATCCTTTTGGCACCACTTTCCAAATATTGTCATCACTTGATATCCATAGGGGATTGGATCTAGGCATCCCACAGAGACCTAATTCTGCAGATGCAAAAGTCTCTTATAAAATGGCTTGGTGTTCACATATCATCTATGCACACCCTTCTGTATTCTTTAAATCATCTCGATTACTTATAATACTTAGTACAATGGAAATGCTGTGCCACAAGTTGCTACACTGTATTGTTTGGGAAGTAATGACAAGAAAAGAAGTCTGTGTGTGTTCAGTATAGATGAAATTTCCCCCCAATATTTCTGATCTGTGAGTAGTTGAATCAACGATACAGAGGGCCAATTGTATGACCCATGTATCTACTTCCCACCACTCCCTCACTGTCCCTTGAGTTCAAGCCATCCTTGCTTATCCCAGGAACAATGAGGCACCCTCTAGTCTCTGCTTTCACTCTCTTTACACTGGAGCAGCCAGACAGGTCAGGATCCAGTGCCCGCCAGGCCATGCTGCTCTTCTGCTCAACTCTTGCTTCCTTTCCCACTTAGAGAAAAGCCCGGTCCCTGGATGGTTCTCAAGGCCTGACCTAAGCTTGCCTGGCGCCTTCCTAACTTCATCTCCTGCTCTTCTCCCTCTTGCTCACTCCGTTTCTGCCACACCCATTTCCTGGCATCCCTTGAGCACACTTAGCCTTGTCACTTCTGGGAACACTACAGGGCTTCTCATCCTCCCTGATCCCAATATCTCCAGGCCTCCCTTGGGTCTTCCAGATGTTTACCCAAATGCCACCTCTCATTGAGGGCTTCCCTGGCCCAAACATTGCGACCCTATCCTGAAACTTTCTATTCTCCATCTCCCTAGCCATTACTGTGCTTTATTTATTTACTTGTCTGTTTACTGTCTGCACCTTGAGCCCAGACATTTTGTCTGTCATGTTTACTGCTGTACGCCACGGTCCTTGCAGCAGTGTCTGGCATACAATATGCACCAAAAAAATGATTTGTTGAATTAATAATTGAGTAAAGGAACATCTACTGCAACATCTTGTACATCCTTATATTATGTAGCAGGCACTTTCCCAATATCTTAAAAGCAATCCCAAATAGAAATGCAAAGTAAACAACTCAAATCTCTATGCTTTTTGTCACTACATTTGATTTAAGTTAGGGGTAGGCAAACCTTTTCTGCACAGGACCAGACAGTAAATGTTCTCAGCCACTATATGGTCTCTATAGGTCTATATAGGACACCATATGGTCTCTGCCACAAGTAAAGTCTGTCACTGCAGTGCAAAAGCAGCTACAGATACTAGCTAAACAAATGCATGTGGATATGTCCCAATAATTTTATCTATGGATATTGAAATTCGAATTTTCATATCATGAAATTATCTTCTTTTGATTTTTTCAACCATTTAAAAATGTAAAAGCTACTGGTATTATTTTTTTGTGTGTGATACTCCCCCCCCCACCCACAGAAGTGATGGACTGAATTTGGCCCATGGGCTGTCATTTACTAACCCCTAGTTTAGTAGTTTTTTTTGTGTGTTTCACAAAACTCTTTGTGTACATCGTCTCATCTAGTCCTCTCAGCAATCCTATGTATAGCATGTCATTCTAATTTTACTGATGTGAAAATCAGAGATTATGAAGAACATGTCAAAACTGCCAATGCAAATTGCCAGGTTTGCATCCTGCAGTGCAGGGCAGTGAACAGCTATTCTGAGTATGGTGCTTTAATATGCAAGTTATCTCCTTGACCTATACCACCCCGTGACAAGGTACAAGCATTCCTATTTCACAGATAAAGAAACTGAGACCAGTTTTTTTTTTCTAAAAAGTTTCTTTCTAAAAAGCTGGATAATCCAGGAAAGAAATGCACATTTGATTTCTCTTTTTCTGTGTGCATTTTTGCTTTCCATACTCTTTTCCATACTCTTCCATAGTGAAGCATTTATTACTGCTGCCAAAATGGAAGTGAGAGTTTCTTTCTTTTCTTTTTCTTTTTTTTTTTTTTTTTAAGTTTTCTTGATCTGGGAGGTCAACACACCATCTCAGATACGGAAGTCCTGTTACCTGGGGCTTCACCTGGATCAGTGTGAGGATGCATAC